CGATAATTTGAATAAACAAGTTCGTTAAATTTAAAAATTTACAAACTGGAGCGATGTTAAAATGAAAGATGTAAGTTAATACTTGTTTACTTAATTAATTTAGTTGATTCCAATGATTTGAAAGGTACTCGGAAAAAAACTATTCATTACTATTACTATCTGATATTTTGAGTGATAATTCTCGCTGGATTTTCGACGAACAAACCTATTGTCTTCCCTACAAGGCCTTTTCAGACTGACCGATTCTCAATACACTCAAATAGAAACCAATACACATAAAAAACGCTGTAAAAATTTCCCTTCAATTTTAAGGCAGTAAAACAACGACCATCAACCGAGGCCATATGTCGACAAGGATGCAAAATCACAGTTACACAAAAGAACTGGTCAGATTTTTCAGAAATCCCTTCAAGTCTGATGTAAAATATGATGCTAAAAGACTGCAGATCTCCCATTTAGATGACCAGTTATATGACCGGCAGATGTCTCGTAGGATTCCCAGAGAGTTTTGCTTTAATTTGTGCTCTTTTATTTTCATTTTGACTCACTTCAGTGACAAATGCAGGCAGCAGTGCCGGCTAAAATCGAAATTGCTCCGGCTGTTTGCTATCGCAACCGGCTAAATCTAGCCGGAAAACGGCTAAAATGGCAACACTGGTACCAAGGCTTTTCGTGTTGGCTTTTGTAAGACAGTCTACAGTGCTAATGCGCCATTTACTAGAACGTTCTCTAAGTTTAATTATCTCTCTAACTTTATAGATTTGGACCTCTCTGGTACAAACATTTATTTCAAACGCAAATAAAAAATTATTTTCTTTGTAATAACTCAAATTATTACATCTTAAATGTTTCAATATTAATTCCTTGTATTATTAATTATTTATTTTAGTACAAATTTGTGAATTTCAATTAACAATTAAAATATTTCTTTTGTTAGTATCTATATAATTTCAGTTGTACTAGCTGTATTTTTTTCAATTTTTCATTATTCATACCAACAATTGTTGCTAAGTATTAACTTCTTAAATGTCTGTCCTGATTTGTTTTAAGACATCAAATAAATAAATAAATAAATAAAGCAAAATTTTCTGATGTTCATGAAAGGTATGAAGCCTTCGGCATAGCCGAAGACAGCGCTGCTCGGTTATGCGGAAAATGTGTGTAACGATTTGGCTCTTAAAATACTGTACCGATTTTCATAATTCCTCTTTAAAATTAAGCATTTGTTACAAAAAATTTCCTTTTTAATACGAATTTTATTTTATTTTCGCAAAGCTCATTCCTTTTCAGCACACCCTGAAAGATTCAAGTCATTTGATAAACTTAGATTTATATTTAACCGACTTATGCAACCAATTACAGGATGTTAAAAAAAAATAAATCCCAAGTTCTCGGCCCGTTATAAAATCCCAACTTGAAAGAAAATATCGCTTCTTGGTCTTATTTATTGTATCAATTATTCTATTTTAATATTGTATATCCCAACAGTCAATCGTTTGCGTATAATTGGGAAATTTTGAGTGGTGATACTGTTATGGAATGTACATACGTTTATCTGTATGGAGTGTATGTATATCCCCGGGCCAAATATTTTTCGAAATCTCAGGCAGGCCAAGGCCGAAAACTAATACAAATACAGATAGGGCTAAAGTTGTGAAATTATTAGAGAACTTTTAAAGCAGTGATGGGCAAAATTGTATTTACTAAGTATTAAGTACTAAGTACAAAAGTATTTAGGTATTTTGTGTTGTTGTAAATACCAAAGTACTATTTACTTAGGTATTTAGGAGCTGCTAAATACCCAAGTACTATTTACTTAGGTATTTAGGTGGTGCTAAATACTCAAGTAAAAAGTATTAAGGTATTTAGGAGCTACTAGATATTAAAGTAAGAAAAACTTGAGTATTTAGGAGCTGCTAGATACCAAAGTACAAAAGACGAAAGTATTTAGCAGGCGCTAAACTAACTAATTTTGAATTTTTGGGACTTTCGATACAATTTAGGGATTGTC